TTTACAGAAACTCATTCACACTCAAGTGCCATTAGTCAATCAATCAGTTAACATCTATAAATGGCAGATATTAAATCTCTTCCTTTTTTGATGAGAGTGTGTGTGGGGGGGTGGGGGTGGAGGAGATGGTAGAAAGTAACTTAGAAATTCAATGTTTCTGCATATGTGGGTGGAATTACCATTGAGAGGGGGTAAGGAGGAATATAAATGGAAGGTTGGGGATCTAGAAGACAATGAAAAAACTTCACGGATTCATTCACCTTCTCTTCACCAGGTTGCATGTGAAATTCAGTTCCAATTTGATTCTACTCTTAGGACACGGGGTTCAAAGGGCATAATCTACAGATGATTAACCAGTAATGTGATTATGTTTGAAAAACAAAATATCACTCACAAATTCTGTAGAAAAGAGAAAATAGATACCTTCAGTTTACATTTGAACAGATGTGAAGCAGAGTTCTATGTTGTGTGGTGTCTGAGGGTATCTGTGGTGACCATGGTATCTGAGGATCTTGCAGCTGCTCTTGGAATAGATACCTTCACACATCATTATCTGCTTTTATCTTTACTCTAAATCTTAGGGCAAACAAATTTCATAGTAATAAAAATAATAATAGGTAACATTTTTTGAACAAAGTAATGTGCTATGAAAAGCTACTTGGATTGCATTATTTAGTTTTCAAACAAATTGTGGAGAATTCAGCATCATAGTAAAAACACTGTTCTTAACAAATTATAAAAATTATGGAGCAGACATATGGAGTAGACATATATGGAATAGAATTGATTATGGTACACAGATAAGTCATAGCTATGTGTAAACAAACTGATATATTCTTGTCATAAAAATAAAAGTGACAGTTTTTTAGAAATAATTTTATTTTTGAAATTCATTATTGAGTAGAGCTAGTATATAGTTCCACCTATAATATAAAAATGATTTTTAGTCAATGCAAGATAATTTTAAAATTCTATAATGTCCATTAATTTTAGCTCCCAAATCTGTCCTGGTTTATATGATCAATTATATAATTATGCTACCTATTTAAAAGGCATTACTACCCATCCATTGAACCAAAACATATACCTGGAGGTCATTTGACCCTTTTTACTAAACATCCAGTCACTAAGTAATTATGATTTTAACTAAGTTTCCACTTCTCTATCACTACCTGAGTTCAAAGCTTTAGCATTTCTCTCCAAAATTGCTTTGAAAGACTTCTGTCTGGTCTTATTCCCAAACTTTTATCCTTTTAATCCATCGTCCACAGTGCTGTCAAAATGATAGTTGCATAAAATCCTTTGAAAGTTATCAATTTTCTACAAAATAAAGTTAAAGCTTTTTGGCATAGATGGATTTTTGCCTCTCCTCCATACCTTTTTTCTTTCCTCTGTGTACTCTTTCCTCCAGATACTCTTTGGCTATATCTATGCATCAAATACACTATCTTCCTTCAGGACATGAGGCAGGACATGGAATTTGCTCAGCCTCTTATAATGCTTTTCACCTCTTTTTTTGGCTTGGCTCTCTTAGCATAAGGTGCCTTCCTTTACCATAGCAATTTATATACTGCACTATAATCATGGATTTGCTGTCTTTCTCTCTTAACTGTGTTTCACTAGAACGGGAGGGTTTCTTTGGGAGTCATCGGCACTATTCTCAGTGCCGATGGCTCCCAAATCTATACAGCAGTCAAAAACTGAACTAGTATTCCTCACAAATCTTTTCTACCTCTGCTTCATATTTACCCAAACTACATGTCGATGCCCTCAGAACTTCACACATCTCTGAATCACTACTCATCCCCTTATATTTAATTAGTTTTCATTGTATTATCACCTTCAAATATTTTTTGAAAGTATGCCTTCCTCCCCATTTCTACTGCTAAGGTAATACTGCCAGCAGTGTGTAATGACATCCCCACCCACCCCCCAAAATGTGTATGTATATATGCGCACACAAAAATATACATGTTTATTATAAATTTTATCTATATGAAGCATATGTAGCACCAATTTAAAATTATAATAAAATGCATTATGCTCTTTACTGTAAATTCCATAGATCTAATTGATCCTCACAGAATGCTTTTGTTGATATTTGCTAAACTTTTGTACCCATAGCCAACCAACTTATGGTTGCAACTAATGACAACTGTGATTCTGATATAAAACCTTCTGAAAAAGTAAAGACATAAGTTGGAACTTTACTTACTCAATAATGACATGAACAACTTCTGGATAATTTTTATTAGAATTATAGTGTATAAAGTTTTGTGCTATTCACAATAGAATAACTAAACGTATGACATACTTTTAAGTTGAATTTACCTTATTATAATTTTCTCCATTATTTTCTTAAATCTAGAAAATCAACAAAACAAATCATCATGATTGTGATTTTAGCATTTGTCAATTGCTGTAGTGTAAATATTCCAATCCTGACTGATTTCAAGCTACCACCATAAAGTCACTACACACTGAGTTGGGAAGAGGTGTACAACAGTACACCATTTCATATTATTTGCATCTTACAGATACATATAACCACAAAGGCATAGATAATAGTAAAATAAGTATTCAGTGAGTAGTTTTGAGTATTTATTACCTCTATTTAAAATACAAATCCTTTAATTATAAACATAAATAATTTAATTTTTAATAATGATTGTATGTAAAAACTGACTCCCAAAAATCCTGAAAATTTAGCATTTGGTTTTCACGAGCCAGTACAGGCTGACTCCAGGCCAGCATGGCTTGTCATTCACCCAGCCTGTGTGATGATTTCCTAAGTTGACCCTTGTTTTCCCATTCTATGAAGCCATCTCAGATATAGTTTCAGACTACATGTGGATGCAGGACTCCTATTCATACACTCAGAATATTTCCCATTATTAAGAGAATAAAGTCTGAACTTTATAGTAATTGTCCTTAAGGAATCCAGATCTGGACCTTCCAAATATTTCTCACCACTCAACTTCATGTTATAATTGACCCTAATCTCACTTAAATTCTTACTGTTTACAAGATACTTTTTATATTCTTTTTTAAAAAATATATTTTTTATTGATTTCAGAGAGGAAGGAAGAGGAAGAGATAGAAACATCAATGATGAGAGAGAATCATTGATTGGCTGCCTCCTGCATGCCCCCAACCTGGGGATTAAGCCTGCAATCCGGCCATGTGCCCTTGACCAGAATGGAACCCGGAGCCTTCAGTCCGCAGGCTGATGCTCTATCCACTGAGCCAAACCAGCGAGGGCACTTTTTATATTCTTATGCTGAATTTTTTGTCTTGGATTTCTTTCTCTCCATTCCTGCATTCCCAAATTCTATATACTGCATACTACAAGATCATTTAAAAATTTAAATTCTGTCTGAAATGTTTTTCTCTTTTTATCTGGCTGGAAATAACTTTTCCCTTTGTTCCTTCTCATTTAACACTTCATGTGTGCCTCATTTACAGCCCTCATTTTCTACCTTGTATGCAATACATTTTTATTGTATGTCTATGATATATAAGGGACTATTTTCAAAGTCATTTAAAAAGTATAAAAGAGAAAAAACATCCTAGAAAGATCTTTGAGAGGAAACCTAACCTTAGGGTAAGGAAAAAAGGAGCATGTAGTGATGGAATCAGAGAAGTAGGAAGAGAGTTGGGAAACTATAGGGGTCCAAGAAACCTGGTAAAGAGAAAATGTCAAATAGGATCTTATCAATAGAGATGGAGAAGTTGCAATCTTTGAGTATTTTGTTTGAAACCAGCCATCTACATAGTATTTAGATTGACATAGGTCATGACAGATCACAGTAAAAGATAGAGCATATGATGTAAATGTTCTCATAAAAGAATCAGGTGTTTATTTTACCTTCCAGAATATTGTAGGTTTGGCCAGTACTACCAATCCCTAATCAAATTTTAGAGGTTTACATGTAGAATGTCTTGAAAGAATCACAAATGTAGACTGTAAATTCTGAGAATGGAAGAATCCTTGAAAGCATTTGCATGCCAAATAATGCAAAATCAATTCCAGGAAATGTTATAGCAGTTGGCAACTTCTGGAATTAGCTGATCTCTATTCACATGATAACAAAATCCAGAAGTTAATCCAAGTGTTTACAAGGAGAAAGGCATGTGGACTGCATACCTAACACAGACAAATACTTGTAACTAAAGCAGAAGCTTTATTTGATAAGTGCTGTGACAGAAAGTGCATTGGGGAAGAAACGGGCAGTAGGCTCTGCCAGCTCTCTCATCTTTCAGGGAGAACAGCGAAAATCAACACTGTGGCAGTATTAATGGATCAACTCTTGCCTTTGATTTCTCTCTAGATACAACTAAAATATGACAGGACAAAGTTATACCTGGAAATCTTCTATGTCTCGCTCTTACACATAAAGAACCAGTATTCTAGAGACTGGGAAACTGGGGCAAGGTGAAATTTGGGAACTTGTGCTTTATGTATTTTGGAGATACTACCTTGCTAATCTACTCTGAAGAGATTTTTCCCTACAAAATTAGCTCTCTAGATTGACTTGCATTTTATTAATATTTTTGCTAATATTATTTTATGCTTTCTCCTCTTATCAAAGTTACTTGATATGTAAAATAATATATTTAATATATTTATTTGACCAAATTTAAAGTGGAATTACTATAAGACTATATAAATTCTACATGATAGTACTTTTTAAAAAAATCTTTTTCCATGTGAGTTCAAAGGCAGGAAGAGTATATCTACAGGGGTGGGGAAAATCAGATACTATTGTATTTTACATACAGTAGTATCTGAACATGTATATATTCAGATACTTCTGAAGTTCTCAGTGGACATAAGTTTTAGGGAGATACTATTCAACTTCATAACAGCTCATAAATGAGTTCAAAATTTCAGAAAATATTAAAATAATTCATTTTCTAAGTAATAAAGATTATATTCTGATTTATATTATATCACATCCTCACTCCTTTTTCATTTCGTTTAATTCCTCTGTCCCCAGTTGGTCCTGTGTCAGAAGGCTGGGACTTACCCATGAGAAAGCGTAAGCTCTCCCCTGCAGGGGAGCTTGTTGGGAATGCAAGGTGACAGGTAAGCTGATGAACTCTTTCTAAACATTTGACCCACAAAAATAGCCAGACATTTAAAAATGAAATCTGTGTTTCCTAGCTGTGTGGTTATATTAATATCAGACAAAGTGGACCTTAAGACAAGGAGTATTGCTAGAAATAAAGAGGGCATTTCATAATGATAAAAGGGTCAATTCATCAGACATATCTTAAATGTTTATTCACTTAATAAAGGAGGGTCAAAATCCCTGAAGCAGAGAAAATATAGTCAAATCCACAATCATAATTGGGTATTTTTAATATTCCATGCTTAATAATTGATAGAATATATAGACAAAAATATCAATAAAGATATACAAAATGTGAACAGCATAATTGACACTCTTGGCCTAAATTGCATTTTAGAACACTCCACCAAAAACTGCAGAATAGCCATTCTTTTTCTAGTATATATGGGGAGTGCACCAAGGTAGACAACAGGATAGGCCAAAAAGTATCAACAGTAAAAAACAGAAGGAAATCTTATAGAGCACGTTCTTTAACCACAAAAGAAATACATAAGAAATCAATGATATATAAAAAGATCTCCAAATATTTTAAAATGAAAAAAGATATGCTTTCTGCTTTCAACTCTTAAAAGAATGTCAGTAAAACAACTTATTCAACTCTATGAATTTCAGGTGGGAAAAGAAAAATTTCCACTGAATTGGTCAAAAAATTAATACCAAAACCAAATAAACCTTTGAAATTTATGTGTAATCAGGTTCTTTAAAGTTATCATATATTGCTGTTAAATACTGGCTGCATCAATAAAGGTATATTCAGCAATAGCAATAATTCTTTCAGATATCCTAAAATTGTTGACATGATACCCTATATTACTTTTCATGGTTCTATCTTTAAAAAACTTCTAAGATTTCAGTCTTCCTGGAACAGGAGAGGGACTTGCCAAGTCTTGGAAACGTAAAACAAACACTTTTTATACATATGTTAATGCCATTGTTTATTGACTCAGCTCCAATGTAATTGGGGTCATTAGCAAAGCAGAAGCAGCTCAGATCCTGTCCTTTAAAATAGTGGATACCTTCTGTGTACTGGATATCAAATCACCTATCCGTTACCAGGTATCATAGCTGTTCTTGCAGTGCAAGTAGAAGCAGAGGTGCCATTTCTTGCTGAAAATTTTTTTTTTTTGTGGGGGGAGGGGGGGCGGGAAATCATCTGCTGTAGACATAGTGTTTCAAAAATCAGACAAAATATATTTCATGAAAAATCTATTTTGAGATCGACATTCATTTGAAAAGCTAAATGTAGCATCTGGATAAAAAAAGGAAGGGATGAAACATCAAACTGAAAATATCCTCCTATATTGTGAAATTTTCTCAAGTGTAAATGAGACCACCTTTAAGTCTGTCACAGGCAAAGAAATCCAACTGGGGTCTTGATGACTAAAGGGATGTTAAAGAATCTCTCATCAGCAGACCATAAAGAATAAAGCAAGAGCTATCAGTACTGTGCAGATGTTATCAGGATGTGACTTCAGCACAACCCCACATCCCGATAGAGAGACAAAACTGCAGATGTTTAATATATTACAGGAAATAACTGCAAAATCTGTTTTGCTTCTCCTACTTTATAATGTTTAATTTTTGTAGAGACATGGCAATTGCATTTTTGAAGAACTTCCTCCAACCTTAGTCACTTTGTAAGTCTAACTGCTTACTACTAAGATGCAGGGAGCTGTAGGTAAAGTGGCAGATTACATACTACCTGGGTATGGGGCCCTGTGAAAGAAGGAGGGAGAGATATGTTTAAGCATTTGTGTAAGGTGGTGGAAAGAGAGTTCTCATTGTTGTGTGATAATGGAACCCTATGTGTGAGGTAGAGACCTGTGCACTGATTTGACAACAAATCTTTAAATCTGTTCAAAGTCCTGGCAAACAAAAAGAAACTCAGATTTGTTAAACCAAGTAGAAAACATTTGGAGATGTGAAGTAAGTATTTCTGCTCAGATGATTTGTTTTCCTTTTTTTAAGTTAAAAATGATAGAGTAATTATTTAATAGGTTATATAGTTTCAAAGGAATTATTTGCCTTGGTGAGAATTATTTTTTTCAGGAACTGCTGGTCTTTTATTTTTGTGTTATTGAAACTAGCTGATTGTAAAGTCATAAACCTATATTTCTTTCATTTTGAGTAGTTTAAATGTAGTCATTTTCTAAAACAGTTTTGTTTCCCAAATAAAAGCAGCCCATCTACTCTGTTCAGTTGCTGTTTTGATCCCATCTCTAAGTGGTGTCTGCAGTTGGGGTGGAATAGCTCAGTTGGCTGGTGCCCTCTTCTGCCGGGCACAGGTCTTGCCCTCCTCTGCTATTTACTCAGTTTTTTTTTTTCTTTCTCAGGGAACCCACAGGACCTTGCCCTGGAGGGCCTTACAGCAAATAAGCCTACATTGTTGAATCACATGTACTGAAGACTACAGAACAAATCATAGAAAAAGGAATAAAAGGTAATTTTTTGAAAAAACAGGATGACTTCTATGAAATTAAAAACACAAACCCCACTAATTATTAGATGGGCTTGTGCTTCAGAAAAATGTAATTAAATTCAAAATAGTAAATATTATGAAGCATATTAAAGAATAAATTCATCTTTATTTTTTAATATATATTTTTATTGATTTGGGAGAGGAGGGGAGAGGGAGAGAGATAGAAACGTCATACTGAGAGAGAATCATTGAGGGGCCACCTCCTGCACACACCCCACTGGGGATCGAGCCCACAACCTGGGCATGTGTCCTGACTGGGAAGCAAACCACTACCCTCTGGTTCATAGGTCAATGCTCAACCACTGAGCACACCTGCCGAGTAAAGAATTAGATTCATCCGGAAATTATTATGTCTGGTATTTATAAAGGTAAAAAAATAAGAGGCAGATATTACCTGGAATTAGGACTGGCTTAGTATGCATTCTTAAAAATAATCTCTTTGAGAATAAAACCAACCACAAAAGTAGTACTTAAAATAAATATAATGTACATTATCATTATTCTTACATGGATTATTATCAGGAAGGAATAAATCCAAAAAACGGGGTTTAATATATTGCACTTGATTCCAAAGGGAAGAGACAAGAGGGAAGTAAAACTAAAAGGATAGCCTTGCTTTATCTTAGAAGCCTAGAGCAAGCCAAGTAATCCTAATTTGGTGATTAGAAACAAACCTAACCAAAGACAAAGCAGTTCCTGGTTTTAAACCAAAGTCAAAGCAGCCCCTCGGTTTAAAGCACATTTACCTATTTATATCCACGTGGACTGGATGTAGTAGAAAGTGAACACAGGTCATTCATCTTTGAAGTTTGGTTTGTTGTGGGCCTGTGTTCTCTTCATATTTCTACTCCTAGTGCCCAGCGCAGTGCCTGGTACATCATCATGCCCAATAATGCTGGTTGACTTGAATCATTGAACAATAGCAAAGAACTCTATTCTGAATATTGGATAAGGTAAAAGTTCAAATATCTGAAAACTTCAATATTCTGTCTAAAGCATCCCCCAAAAAATTCCATGTAATTTTTATGCCAGGATAGGCAACTACAGAGGGGATGAAAGACATTCTTTTGTGTAAGGTGGTTGTACCTTTTGCCAAGATGTGACTGACCAAAAAAACTCAAAATATTTTGAGGAGATGCTATCTGCCAAAGGGATTGCCACAAATACATGTAGGATCAAAGAACATTCCACATTTTACCCTGGTGATTAGCTGTAATTAAATAAAGTAAGTCTTTTTAAACTTCATTAGCAGCAAGACGTTTGCTACAGCAGAGTGGGCACAAATCATCCATTCTTAATTAAAAGATAATCCACAGGATGGCCATAATCTTCTCCTAAAAATACAACATTTCCCCCTGAAAGATTTTTCTCATCAAATAAGGATAAATAACAGTTTCTATGAGTTTAAGCCATGAAGGAAAGGATGCTCCTCCCGTTTGCTTGAGTGAGTGCTGAATGTGGCTGATAACATCACTTTGGCATGCTATTATCTAAAATGGTAGAATACCTCACTTCAGCAAAGTCTGACATAAATCTTTGAAAACAAAGACATTGCATATGTATGAGCTGAAATAGATATGACAGTGTTGGCACATTAATATTCCTGTCACTAGGGGGTTTCAAACTTTTAAGTTGAGGATGGGAATGAATTCAGACTGTAGCTGGTAAAATAGGGTGACATACAGTAGGACAATTAGGCATTGCCTACCATAATAAAATATGTACAGAGAAAGGGTTCCCTGTTCCCTGCCTTTGGTAAAAAATGACTGTAGGATTATCTCCTGGGAATGCCAAGAATAATTAATCTGGCTTAGAAAGTTGCATGGTTGTTCTAAGCATACTAATAAGAATGTTCCGTGAAGACCAGTCTCAATCAGTGGAAGAGAGAACTGTTTTTTCTTGTGTAGCCATTATAGTGGTTCATGGGTAACAGATGTTTCCACTTATTCCACAACAACCCTCATTAAAAGTAACTATAAGGCCTAATTGAGTAGTTCTCCACATAGTTGGATCTTTGCAGAAAATAGTTCTATTACTGTATGTTTTACAATTATTTCTCTTCCTGTTTTTGGTGGCTGATATGAAAAGCGTTACCATAACTTTTTAACTTAACTTCTCAGGAAGACGTAAATGGATGAAAGTTAAACTTCTTTTAACTCCATCTTACACTGTGTGGACTAAGTGTCAGGAAGCCTCTACTTAGAAATGCCAACTATTTTTAGAAGAGCTTTATAAATCATGAAATTCTAGAAAATCACCACTTACCAGGAAAGATGACATAACGGTTGCATTAGATTTTAGTCTGTATGGGAGTGGGCAAGAGTTCAACACTCGGTCTTGATGAAAAATTGTCACTAAGTTACAGTTACGGTGTTTGAAGCTGATGTTGAAATGTAAATCATATGCGTTGACCTGGTGAGTGGAAATGAGGGGCTGCTCAAAAGGTGTTTTTTCCCCCCCAAAAAAAGCATTTTGGATTTTAGTCTGTATGGGAGTGGGCAAGAGTTCAACACTCCGTCTTGATGAAAAATTGTCACTAAGTTACAGTTATGGTGTTTGAAGCTGATGTTGAAATGTAAAAACATATGCGTTGACCTGGTGAGTGTAAATGAGGAGCTGCTCAAAAGGTGTTTTTTTTCCCCCCCAAAAAAAGCATTTTGGTCATGTATCTATAGCCCAGGGAAGCTTGGTCTGAGCCCTAGTAGCAGTCACCCAGATGCAGAAAAGGGCTTCAAAACCTCTCCTTTGACAGAGAGACATGAAATAATATCTGACAAAAGCGCATGCAAACAACATGATGGCAAATCAGCAATCATACAGGCTGCAAAGGAGAGCACATCTCACTTCCAAATGTCTGTTTTCTTCTTCTTCAGATTTTACTACTAACATCTCATAGAGGTGCTTAGGTCAGTACTTTTAAAAACAATTTAATATATGACTGGGTTTGGTTTAACTCCTTTATTCCACTAATGCTGTTTGTCATTTTATGCATGTGTCAGCATTGTTTTTGAATGGCAAAAAAAAAAGGCTGGGAATAAACCAAGCACAAAGAAAGACTCTTGAAGCTCACTGTATGTAACTTTGTTTTAGAAAGCGATAGATAATCCATGAAGATAGGTTATACCCCACTTGCAAACTACTGCTACCTCTTAAATGAAGTAATACGTTGAAAGAAAATGACCTACACTAAATTAAATCATATTGATGAAAAGAATGGCAGCAGATTTGACCAGATCCAAGTTGCTTAGCTACTCTCTTTCAATGTGTTGTTCTTGATTTCGAAAAGTAAATAAAAATAAGGCTTTTCAAAAGGAGTTACAAAATTAAGCTTTGTTCTTTCTTTTTTCCCTTTTAATTGTCTTTAGAGAGAGGGAAGGAGGGAGGGAGGAAGAGAGAAATATTGATGTGAGAAACATCGATCACTTGCCTCCCTCATGCACCCTGACTGGAGATCAAGCCCCCAACTTAGGTATGTGCCCTGGGCATGTGGGTACGTGCCAAACGCCCAGCTTTTTGATGTATAGCCAACCAACGGAGCCATACCAGCCAGGGCACAAAATTAAATTTAAATATTAAAATATTTACTTTGTTTTTACCTAATAGTATCCCATGAAACATTTACATGTACAAATATGAATTTTGATCCCATCCTATAAATAAGTAATCTCTAAAGGTATATGTGCCCAATGAAATGAAGCCCAGGTTTCAACCTGGATAAATATGAAGAAAAACAATGACAACAACAACAATAATAAATCAGATGGAACACCTACTTCACAAATAACTGCAACATAAACTTTCTCAAAATCTTTACCTTTTTATTTCATAATCATCAATCTGTTACTGATCAAATACATACTATATGTCAAATAAGGAAAATGCTCATAGTTTAAAATTATTGATATGAACTGTAAATAAAAACAAAGCTACTTGGGCCTTTAAAATGTTCTCTTTCATGTTGATTCATTGCAGAAAAATAATGAATTGCAGCTTCTTCTTCCCCTGACATATTTGGGATAGTTTACATGCCCTTGAAATGTCTTAAATATTCTAACACCCACTATACAACATTCAGAAGAGGAAAAAAAAAAACAACAACAACACATGCAGTTATTTCCTTGGTGGTCATTTTTTAACCTCTCGTTCAGTATTTAAGAATACCAAAAGCATATGGTTTAAGGGGAATGAAAGAAACAAACTTAGTCAAATGTATTGAAATGCAAGAATATATTTTAAAGGTTCTGTTAGAAGATATTTGATCATTAGCAATAAGTCCATTTACCACATGGTCTGTGATATGAAGACAGTTCAAGATCTCTATCTCTGAGATCTGTAATAAACACATGTGCTCAAGTTCCTATGAAGTGGCTGTAGATAAGGATGCTCCTAAATTTATGTCTATAAACATGTTACCATTTTATTATTTTTTTTAGTATATATTTTCATTGATTTTAGAGAGAGAGGTAGGGAGAGGGATAGAGAGACAGAAACATCAATTGTCTGCCTCCTGCATGCTTCCTACTAGGGATTGGGCCCATAACCCGAGCATGTGACCTGACCAGGCATCAAACATGTGACCTCTTGGTTCATGGGTCGACACTCAACCACTGAGCCACACCAGCCAGGCAAACATGCTAACCATTTTAAAAAGCATTTAGGAAGATGTATTTTTCCAACCACATTAACATAAATAATTTTTATTTATACCCTCACAGTTGCTTTCTTAGGATAATCTCTTTTGTTCTATCAGATCATGCAGGTTAAACTTATTTTGATATTTATCTTTTTCTTATGAGAGTGAGAATTTCAGCAAATCACTTATAAACTATCACGTCCCTTTATTGTGTAATGCACCTAGTGGGATTTAGACTCTTACAAAGCTAGTGTTTTATTAAAACATTTCAGACATAATTTATTTGGTTTCAAAGATATAATATGCTGTATCTTGTTTATTTGAATTA